AAGATACTCCCACCCTCACATTTTAAATAAAATATTTCTACAACGGGTAAATTAAACTAAAAATAAATTATTAGATAGATAATGAGAAACAACTAAATCAAACAAGCAATATCATTAAGAAAATAATATAATAAGATGAGAATGCATCGTATGTTAAACAGAAAAGAATAAAATAAAAGTACTGAACACGTGAGTCACTTCGAAATAAGGAATAAAGGTCATAATATGCGATTAAGATGGTGATGTCAATTCTAAGATTACGAATGTAGTCTATAAAGAAGTATCACAGCATATATAATCATTTAATTTGAGATTCATTCTTTTTTTTTATTCTCTTTTTTGGATTTCTTAATAATCCTTTTTGCGTTAAATAAGTTAACACTGTATTCATTTGGTAAAGTGTTTTTGATATTTGAGTTTTATTTTTTCCAATGAAGTCATTATTATACATTTTATAAAAATAAAAAATCTATAAAAATACAAAATATTTTTTACTTCGCTTATGTCGTAATGTCTATATATGCATGTATTTCCCGTCTATCTGATGGGTCTAACAGCTAGTTAGATACAGAAATGATCTCAAACTTTAGGAACAAAAATAAAATTCAAAGAACAGACTCAAATACAATGATTTAGCCTACGCAAATGGATAATCTAAATATTTAGCACCAAAATGAAGTACTAAATCTCCAATGTGATGAAGTGGTAACACAATCACAATAGATGAAAATTACTTTTGTAGCGCTGATTCGCAAAACAACTTAAGAAAGCGCACTAAACAATAATAAACACAAACCTTCATTAATCTTGATAATCACTTTTAGTTCTTCTATTTCCTAATTTTTCCATACCTTAGAAGAGTCATATTAGATGAAAACATTTTTAAAAAAATTATATGGATGCATATCCAAAAAGAAAACACGGTATCTTTATGCTTCAAAGCAACACACAGGCGCACAACAATATCGCAATTTATCTTCACGGGCTATGAAAACCACGACATCAAAACTGCAATAAAAGCAAACAATTCAGAACCAAGACGTCAAAATACTAATGTGCTGTTATTGGCTACTCTAGAACCAGGTTTGGCGTTGTTTGTGATGGTGATGGTGATGGTGACATCAAAGGATAACGGAGGAATTAGTCAATCACACAACCATGAACTAATTTGTGAAAAAATAGAAAATAATATACTACTTGTGTTTGGAATTTTTGTGCAAAAAAAATAAAATAAAAACAAAAGTTAAGATTCAACCCTTTTTTTCAACTTACTCAAGCACTTGTATACCCTTAGGAATAAGAGCTTCTCCTTTCATATAACAATAAGGCATTCACGAGGATATTTAAATAACCCTGAACAAATCACAACCTCCTGAAAGATACAATTCTTGTTTCAAATTCTTAGGGAAAAATTGGTGTTCATATCCAAAGTTTTGGGTTCATCGTCAATTTTACCTTATTGAAATTGACTAACCTCCTTGAAATTTTTGTCAATTTCGCCCAATTGGTCCAATTTCCATTAAATTTAACAGATTTCCGTTAGTTTTTTACCAAAAATGCCTCGATAGTTTTAGAGAATTATAAAAATAACCCTAAAAATTATATTTTAATAAATAACAAAAAAAATCCCTTTTATTCATTTTTTCTATTTCATTTTATTTCTATTTATTACTTTTCTTATACATCAAAATATACTATATGATCTTTAAAAAATAATTATTCATTTTCAAAATATATTTTTCATGTGAAACACATGTGATTTGGGTTGAGGGGTAATTTTGTCATTTTAAAATTTTTAATTTAATTTTTTTATTATTTTTTTAGATTATTTCCTTATATTTTTTTACTAGTATAATTATTAAATTTCAATAATTAATTGCCTTTTTATTTCATAGATTTTTAAAAAAATTAACATGAAGAAAATGAGGAAGAAAAAATCAAGTAGAAATATAAATGAAAATTAAAAGTTTATCATTGTAAACAAAAATCGGAAAAATCTTTAAAAGGGGATCTACAAAGACAAGTCTTTCCTTCTTAACTTCTTCTAATTCATAGGTGAATTACGAAACATAAATTTCACTTGATCTAGCCTAAAATAATTATTTTGTTCACTGTAATAAAAATAATATAAAAATTAGACAATCATTTGAAACATAAAAAGGTGCTAATTTAATTAGTCAACAACCATGCATTTCTATAAATTTAGTTACACTACTTTTATTCTTTCTAATAATTTCTTTTTGCCGATTCGCGCTAACTAAACTACATAAGAAATTATTAAATTTCATGAAAAATATAAATATGTGTATTTTTTAGCAAAATAATTGCAAAACTATGCTACCTGACTTGTATTATTTTTATTAGAAAGAACAAAATAATCAGTTTAGGTTAGATCAAGTAAACTTTATGTTTCGTAACTTACTATGAAATAGAGGAAGTTAAGGAGAAAAGACTTGTCTTTGCAATTTGTTTTTTAAGGTTTTTTTGCTTTTTCTTTATAATGATAAACTATTAATTTTCATGTTTATTTCAACTTAAGTTTTTCTTCCTCATTTTTTTTTATCTTAACGTTTTTATAATGTATGAAATAAAAGGTAAATTAACTTTTAAATTTTAATAATTATTCTAGTATCAATATATATATAAGTCATGAAACATAAGAAAAAGAATCTCAAAAAAAGACGAATAAAAAAAATTAAATTTCAAAAATTTGAAATGACAAAATTACCACTCAACCCAAATCACATTTTTTGCAAATGAGAAAATAGATTTTAAAAATAAATAATTATTGTCTTAAAGATCATATAGTATATTTTGATGGTTATGAAAAGTAATAAAGAGAAATAAAATGAAATAGAAAAAAATGAATAAAAATGGTCTGTTTTGTTATTTTAATATTTTAGGGTTATTTTTATAATTTTCTGAAACTATCAGAGGTTTTTTGGTTAAAAACTAACGGAAATCCGTTAAGTTTAATGGAAATTGGGCCAATTGGGCGGAATTGACAAAAACAGTAAGGACAAAATTGGCTAACCAAAAATCAATAGGGTATAATTGACGATGAGCCCAAAGATATGAACGCCAATTTTTCCAAATTTTTAGCATTTATATGCCAAAGTTCAAATGTCCACCCGGATCTCTACAAAGGAAGTTGGACCTCATTAGAAAAATTTAGAAAAAAAAAAAGATCTAATGGGGTCCAACTTTCTTTGTAGAGATCCCGGGGTAGACATTTTGAACTTTGGCATATAAATGCTAAGAATTTGAAATAAGAATTGTACTTTCGCCGTCCCATAATTATTCTCCAGTTTGGATTTTCATTTCTAATTCTAATTGTACTTAAAGTAAAATCTCAAACTAGAAAATAATTTTGGGACAGAGAGAGTATCTTTTAGGAAGTTGTGACTTACAGTTCAATTCCGCCCGCCGTTTGTTTGTCCAGAATCAGATTCAGGATTCGGATTCGGGATTCACTTTCTTGTTTGTTTAGCCGGAAATGCATTCAAGGAATCAGATTTGGAATGAGTTTTTCAATCCGGCCTCCCCCCTAGGGATTCGATGAATTCAGATTCAAATCATTTTTATTTTTTTAAAAAAAAAATCTCAGGCAAAACAGATCCAATTTCTTATTATCTATCTCTCCTTCCCGTCTTAGTCTCCGTAGACCTTGGTTGATGCCATTATCGCCAGCGGCTGAAGTTTCAAACCCATATTTCTTTTCTTCTCATACCATTATCCACAGATCTGGTGGGTTGATTTGATGCTTTCCAAAATTGTTGGCAGCCGTGGGAAGCTCGAGTATTAGAAGAGACATAAAGTGAAGGTAGATGGTACAGGTGGGAAGGGAAGTTTAGATTTGGAGGGTTGTTGGCGGCAGTGGCGGCAGAGTGAAGGTAGATGATGAGGGTGGAGTAGAGGTGGCGTTTGTTTGTCGGAATTCGAATGATGGTTCTTTATAGAAAGTGGTAGCCGGTGGAACAGAGGAGGAGGGGGGAGTAGTAATTTTTTTCAATAAATTAAAATTTGTAAAATTGAAAAAAAAAAAAAGAGAAAGAATTATCTAAATAAATCTATATGTTCAACCAAACGACTCTATTGGATTCGTGAATCTTTCATTATTTGAATCCATTCTGCCATCTTTCAAATCTGTTTCCTAATCTGTTTTCAGCTGACAAAATAAACACTTCCTCAATAAAATGTGAATAGCAGTTGACAATATTGATAAAATGTGAACTCTTCACAAGAGATCTCAAAACGGGAAATCTATCCCAATAGATGCACAGAACTAGTACAACTTTTAATTTCTCTTATACATAGTTTTATTTCTTGTCAGTTGATTATAGGAAATGCACAATATTACATACAATCAAATACGATATAATAATATAAGTACTTCAAATTAATTCAGATATCTTTAAAAATAATAAAATAAGAAACTCATGATATTGAGAACCCCACAACTATTACTTTCCCCCTTCTACTAGAGCTACTATCGATCAGCACTCCACATCTTGTTAGATATAGCTCAAGTATTTTGTTACAGACTAATTAATAAGATAATCAAACCAATAATATTGCGATAGAATTGGACAACATAAATTTAACTACTAAAATATTATAAATATCAATACTTCATAACGAGTTTTAACGCATAAGCTCAAACTACTTTTAAGGTATCATTAAATTACTGAAATTTCAGCTTCTTTCCCTGGCATGAAATTTGTGATAAAATTGCACAATCTTTATAAGGTGACCACTTGAAGTTTCTTATGCTCTAAGACCCAAATCTTAAATTTAAGCATAAAACATTACTCTTTTTTCTTAGGAAATACTCTGCTTCACTGAGACATTTCAATTCAACAAGTTGAGCTATTTTTCTATGATGTGACGAAAGGAGCATTAGTAAAAAATAATGTACACCGTCAATGGAATGTATGTTTAAGTCTGCCTTAACTATAGTAGTAATATCTATATACGATGGAATGTATGTGTAAGTCTGCCTTAATTAATAGTAGTAATATCTACATATACGGGCATAAAGATTAAACCCTCTTCCATGTTCAGGGGGTTTTCATCTCATCTGGCCATTATTGACTAGTTTTAAAATCTAAAGGCTCAATCGGTTAAGTAGAGAAATTCAGGGGTAAATGTACAATTAAATAGACTCCTTAAGAACATAGACTTAACAATAGACTAAACAAAATCAAGTTCTGCCATGTTACAATGTTGAAGAGATATATCCTTGCTCTTCTAATACAGACAACATACAACAACATACCTAAAGAAGAAAACTCGCCCAGCCATCCATTTATGAGGTATTTACCAATAATGGAAGTCCTATTACGTATAAAACAGAATCACTCGCTCATCTCAGCGACCACTTACTATGTCACAGCAAATGTGCCTATAAAATGGAAATGACGACTCTAGTTTTTCGGACACCAACAAGGAAGGATGTTCTAAGCTCCAAGTTTCCCTATTGCGACAAAGGATGGGGAGAATCAATGCTTACATCGGTAGATTCGTCAGGTTTCTTACAAATATAAATGAAATGAGAATCTGGGTCTTCCAGAACATAGTCTGCCGGAAGCGTTCCCTTCTCAGTGATGAAAACAGGTTCTAAAAAGGACTTTTCAGAGGACACTGAGCTGGCAGGTCTTTGAAACCCTGGTCTAGCTGCAGAGGTAGAAAACAAAAAGAAGGATAAACAACATTACAAGATTATGCCATATAAAGCTTTCAGCAACAAATTTACTCCAGCAGGAAGTCAACAAAGTTGTCAAGCTTCACCATTCAGTTTTCATTGACAAGCCATGAGAGGGGAGGACTAGACAAAGAGTGCGGCACATACAAAGCAGATAAACAACACAAGGCAAGTTAGACTGTAGAATATGTTTCTTGTTCGTTTTTATCTCCTTGGGAAGTAGAAAAGATAAGGTACTTTTCTCCAGAAACGCTAAAGCAACTAAAGTATGATGGAGACACACAAAACTTCAACATGTTACTAATCGACCCCCAGTAATTCATGCAGAAAAGAACGACTAAGAAACTGGAACAAAATTAATGGACAACTCAAACCAATTGCTTAACCTGGTTAATGGATTAGATGCATGTTACTCATTAAATGCCCATGATAACTCAAAAATTAAATCAGAAAAGTTGACACCTAACTAGCTATCTTAAGTTATTTGGTAACCTCAGAAATCAGAATTATTATTATTATTTGGGCTAACCCCAGAATTTTATCTATATATGGTTGCACAAGTACTTATTAAGAAAATCAAAAAATTCAAAATGTTTAATCTCAAACTACATTCTCCCACTCCTCCAACATAAACATGTTCCAAGAGAACAAAGCAATGTGATTATCAGTTCGATCTAATATTAGGACATCCTAAGTGCTCATTTTCTATGATCATGTTGATGATAGAGTTTGATCTCCACCAAGAATTACTAATATGGAACATAGTCTATTTCAAATGGTTAATCGGGGGAAAAAAAAAAAGAAAAGAAAAAGTTACCAAATCACTGCCTTGTCTTTTGCTGAAAATATGATTTATCCAGGTTTGGGTAACCTAGTTGATGATTGAGTTTCATCTGTTTGGAACAGAGGACAATTGTCACTCCACCAAGAACTACTAATATGGAATATAGTCTATTTCAAATGGTTAAGACAACAAAAGTTACCAAGTTACTAACATATCTTTTGCCGATAATATGACTCATCCAGGTTTAGGTAAATATGAGAACCTAGTTAAGGACTACTGAGTGCAGATGTGTGATATCAAACCTTGCTAGTTCCCCACTCCTTTGACAACTAATAAATTACCAAAAAGTAAGTGAGAGGAGCACCAAAAATTAGAGCAGGTTCTTCAACTTCAAGTTTGAGGTGATTTGCAGTTTAGTTCTCAATTGACAACATCAGAAAGTAAAGAACATGATTGATGAATACAAAATATCGGATCAAAACCACACAGAGACAAAAAACAGTAAATAGGAGTATGTTCTCGAATAGCTGTTGTTTCAACTGCAGCAAAGGTTGACTAGAAGATTGATTGCCATAAAATTTTTTGGGAAAGAAAAGGTTTTTCATGTCAAGAAATCACTTACGTATTACGTACAGTTCGATCTTCCAATTGTATACTGATCGACTTAAATAAGGGAGTCTCACAGTAGGGTCACCATAAGTTATCTGCACCGAATAAGCAGATAAAAGTCACATCTATCTTGTGCAAGCTATTTCATGGTAAAACTTACACCACTAAACATCTCTAGGGCTCATACCAACATATAGATTCCTCCGGGTTTTAGAAGCCTAAATGAGAGAGCAAATCAAATAGTCATGTCAGATATTAAAACCTAAAAAACATTTCAAAGGTACCACAGTAATATTCTAAAAATATAAATGAATTTGGAAAACCTTCAACTACACTAACCTGTTCACCTCCCCCAGCATTTGAGCAGCATTAATTGGAGCATTGGTACCACACTAGAAATATTAATTTAAAAGAGGTATAGTCAGGATTCAGAAATTAACTAGGATTCTAAAGCCTCAAAATGAAAAGTAGGACTCACCATTAAGGAATCCAGGGTTCCTATATGACATGATCAGGGAGAGCAGAATGCCAAATTGTCATCCAAAGAAAGGGGAAAAAAATAGAATCAACCATCAGCAGGCACATTTTCTACTTCAGCCAAAAGAAAAGGACAAGAGGAAGAGGTTACCTTTATCAATCACACTGTGGAATGATTCATCGGGGAAAAAGCTCATATCTTTAACATCCATTTGCATGTCTATAATGTTTATAAGGAAATCATGATAAACAAGAAAGTGTCCTTTTTTCTTGTGCGAAAGATATTGGAGCACCTAAGAAGGATACATTTCAATTGCGGAACCTGCTCATACTTTCTCCGCATAATGTCGATAGCCACAGATGATATGTCAATGTTCATAATATCTTCATAACCATCCTTGACCATATCTTCTGACATAACTGCATAAAATTGAATTCCACCATTGTAATTAAAATGATGTATCACTTCTCTAAAAGAGGGAAACAAATGACACAAACTAGATGTTGTGCTCTAGTTCTAAAGAACAAACACAAATATGCAATGACTTTGTGCTCTAGTTCCTACCGTTGAAGGACTAACCACCAAAGAACAATAATTGACATGAGAAACAATATAGAAAAAGAAGAAAAAAATAACATACTCCAAACATTTAAGCATGATACTTTCTACGTTCAGCAATTGATGAATAATAAAGCACAACATCAACTAAGCAATGCCGAAAGAATGATTTTGCTTTCAACCACGGAACAAATGAACATATCCAACACTTAGAACCCGCTACTCAAGATTCATGCCCAAGCAGTATGCTGCCGAGACACAAGGAATAGTCTGAGTCTCATGACACAGCTTACTGATTGTAGGCTCAGCATATGGTGTCTGGTATCAAAATACAAACAAATTGGAAAAAAAGAAACCCAATATTTTTTCCTCCATCCCTTCCTTCTGCGCCAACGAGAATGTGTTCCATCATGAGAAAAAGACGCAAAATACTTTTTGAATGATTGCAACACTAATATCAGTGCAATCTTCTTTTGTATCTAGTGGGCTATTACCCCTCACAAAATTGCTCCCTACCATCAAATGATAAGATCTATAGCTACCACAAACAGACCAGAAACCTCACTTCAACATCAACCAAAAGCCTTTGCTGATTTGACATCAACAACCTTTAAATGGCCATTTTTAAGATAAGTATGTTCCTATCATTGTAGCAAGCATAATCTTACAATGTCGATAATTTTACTCCACATCAGCTAGATTAACAAAGCGGACAGTAAAACCAGCAAAATATCATTACGATTCCATCTTAAACTTTTATTTCTCGTCTTTCTGCCAATTTTGCGACTCATCGATATATATTTTATTTAGAACAAAAGCTTATCCTTATTCCGAAAATGTTCATTTCAATTAAAAGCCTCAAATTCAGGGGAATAAATCAAGAGAACAGAAAAACTAACTATAATCAGGTAGTTTCCAAACTCTTAGACTGCCCTGAAACAAAAATTTCCGAATCAGATTATATTGCTTGTATGTGACTACTTCGCTGGTAAAAGTGCAAAAGCTTTGCAATTCGACAAGTTGAGAATGGGATCACCAGCAGAACTGCTTTGAACCCTTCTCTTTCGTACCCCATTGAAAAATTATGGGAATTTCCATCATCATCATCAATACAAACTCTTCACCAACTCATTATTTCTCAGGTTTAAAATCAATTAGAGTTGAATTTAGATGAGCTCAACAAGCACAACAGAGACAAGAGCCTACTCCCAACAACTACCCCATAGCCAGATCACGAATAATAAACGTTACCTATTCTAATATTAATATCCACCACACCAACCACAACAGATACATAGCAAATCTCTAAATACAATCACCCAAAAATGTCCAAATAAATAAATAAGTCTCCAAACTCAACCGGAAAAACTCAAAATACCGGAAAGAAAGAAGGGAAAGAGAATAAAAAAGGGACGAAGAGGGAAGAGAAATTACGGGCATTGCCACAGCCGACCATAAGGACACGGGAGGAAGTGGGGATATACTTTCGCACAAAGGGACGAAGAGCGGAATAACGTTGGTACCAATCAAACGAACCGCAATGTGCTTCTTGAACATAACGAGCGTCCCAGTATAGGGCGTCGCCGTAGTTGTATGTATTGCATGCTGAAACGTCCCTAAACATGGTCTCCGGGATTTATTCCGGCGAAGGTCCGGCGGGAGGACGGCGGAGTTAGGTGGGGGAATCAGGGGGATGGGGAGCTTTTTTTAGCTAGCTGAATTTAGTGGAGTGAAATCCACGCGCGGTTCCTTACTAGGCTACAGGTACTATGTCCACTAGAGAGAGATTACGAAAATCTAAAAAGTTCAAATTTTACTAAATATATATCAGGGGGAAATGACGTAATAAATCAAGATGGTCCAACGAGTTTATCGACAAATAAACATTTAAGCCTCGACTTTTCAACTAAATGATTTTTAGGCCCCAATACTTGTAACAAAATACTCATAATTCCATTATTAGCAGTCGATTTTTCTTATAAAAATATATCATTTAGCGACTAAAGACTGCAAAAGTGCGAATACACGAATATGATTTATATATAGGGATGCGCTCGAATTCAATTTCGTAAAATTATAAGATTATTTTTTGTACAGTATTCTAAGCAAAAGAGATGTATTTTTTCTTCTTACTTCACAATTACAAGAAAGATACTATAAAGAGATGTATTTTTTCTTGTTATTTTACAATTACAAGACGAATTCCCAGCCAATTGTTTAATTGCATAAGCTTTTGCCTCCAAATTTGAATACTTTTGGGTTAAATTTGAAAGTTTTTTAATTAATTTAATTGAGGAGATATGTCCCAATTAAATGGTAAGTCCCTTAATAAATGAGATCAAATGTCCAAGCTCCATCAGGAATGAGTTTGGAGGAATTGGTTCACGTATTTGTCATAAAACTAAGGCCCACAGGTGTGTTTTTTTACAAATAATAATACTACAAAAAAAAAAAAAAAACAAGACAGAGAAGAAGAAGAGGAAGAAAAATCAATAAAATCGTGACGTCCACTAATTCCATAGTATATGATAAAATATCCCTTCAATTTTTATAATTATTTTCTAGAATTTTCTTTTCGCTTTCACTGGGTTTTACTAATAGCCCTTCCCTTTATGGTTTTTTTGGTCAGACTTAAATTAATGATGCATCGGGAAAAGAATATAATGACACAATTATCTCACTTGACCCTCTGATTTTATTCTAATTTTTTACATTTCAATACGAGTCCAATGAGGCAAATTATCCAGTATACCCGGGGGCACCGTGCCTCCCTCCTATTTTTTGCACGAGTAATCCTTATTGTACCTTTTATCAATCTTTCAATATTTTATAATTTTAGTCCCTGTGACTTTTTTCCTTCTCTTGCAAAAAAACAACTCTAATCTTTCAACGAGTATATCTCCCAATCCGTGAAGAATTTGTGAATGAATTATATATGAAATTTATAGTGTTCATCGAGATCTATCCAACGAAATCCACAGTGCACATTTTTTCGGGCTTAAAAATGACTTAATTCTGACGGGTAGAATAGGGGTGGTTATCCATCTTTTTTTTTTTTGAAGAGTGAATGTCAAATATATAATTGGATAACAAGTACGAACATAATGGATAATCAATCTAAACCGGTTGGATAATCAGTAGGAACACAACAGATAACCATTTTTCAAAGAGAAACAAAAAAACACATTTCTTCATTTTCTGCCCGTAAAATTTAAATGCATTTAAAATTTAAAAAAATATTCAACATGGATCTTATCGGATAGATCTCGTCAAGCACTATAAATTTCATTTATAATTCGTGTTATAATTCTTTACGAATCAAAAGATACAAGGAACACAACAATATGAATGTAAAATAAGTTGCTTATCCAAATTATTTGTACTGGTTATCCACTGTGTTCATGCTGATTATCCAACTTGTTTGTACTGGATATCCATTCATTTGGTTTGTATCCATATCCAACTCCAATCTTTCAACGACCATATCTCCCAATCCGTGAAGAATTTGTGGACGAATTATTATAAAATTTATAGTACTCGTCGAGATCTATCCAACGAAATCCACAGTGAACATTTTTTTGGACTTAAAAATGACTTAATTCTGATAGACAGAATAGGGGTGGTTATCCATCTTCTTTCTTTCTTTTTTTTTTTTTGAAGAGTGAATGTCAAACATATGATTGGATAACAAGTACGAACAGAATGGATAATCACTCCAAACCGGTTGGATAATCAGCATGAACATAACGGATAACCATTTTTCAAAGAAAAACGAAAAACACATGTCTTTATTTCTGCCCGTAAAATTTAAATGCATTTAAAGTTAAAAAAAAAAATTCAACATTGATCTTATCGGATAGATCTCGTCGAGCACTATAAATTTCATATATAATTCGTGTTATAATTCTTTACGGATCAAAAGATACAAGGAACACAACAATATGAATGTAAAATAAGTTGGTTATCTATCTTTTTAAACTGGTTATCCAATCTGTTCATGCTGGTTATCCAACTTGTTTGTACTGGATATCTGTCCATTTGGTTTGTATGCATATCCAACTCTAATCTTTCAACGAGCATATTTCTCAATCCGTGAAGAATTTGTGAACGAATTATATATGAAATTTATAGTACTCGTCGAGATCTATCCAACGAAATCTATCGTGAAAATTTTTTCGGGCTTTAAAATGACTTAATTCTGACGGGCAAAATAGAGGTGGTTATCCATCTTTTTTTTTTGAAGAATGAATGTCAAACATATGATTGGATAACAAGTACGAACAGAATGGATAATCACTCCAAACCGATTGGATAACCATTTTTCAAAGAAAAAAAAACACATTTCTTCATTTTCTGCCGTAAAGTTTAAATGCATTTAAAGTTCAAAAAAAAATTCAGCATGGATCTTATCGAATAGATCTCGTCGAGCACTATAAATTTCATATATAATTCGTGTTATAATTCTTTACGGATCAAAAGATACAAGGAAAAGAATAATATGAATGTAAAATAAGTTGATTATCCATCTTCTTAAACTGGATATCCAATCTTTTCATGCTGGTTATCCAACTTGTTTGTACTGGATATCCATCAATTTGGTTTATATGCATATCCAATTCTAATCTTTCAACGAGTATATCTCCCAATCCGTGAAGAATTTTTTCTGTTTTGTGAACGAATTATACATGAAATTGATAGTACTCGTCGAGATCTATCCAACGAAATCCACCGTGAACATTTTTTCGGGCTTAAAAATGACTTAATTCTGATGGACAGATTATCCAACTAATTAGTATTATTTATCCAACCTGGTTTTTGTTTTTATAATTTTTTTAAAAAATAATAAACTAAGTTGGTTATCCAACTCGTTTGTATTGATTATCCAATCATTGGTTTGTATTGGATTATCCAATGCGCTAATGCTGGTTATCCAATGGATTTACATGGTTATCCAAATTGTTTAAACTGGTTATCCACTTTGTTCATACTGGTTATCCAACTCGTGCATACTGGTTATCCAACTTACTGGATATCTAACTTATTCTGTCCATCAAAATTTAGTATTTTTAAACTCAAAAAAAATATTCAAAATGGATCTTATTGAATAAATCTCGACGAGTACTATAATTTTCATGCATAACACGTTCTCTAATTCTTTACGGATTATGAGATATGATCATTGAAAGATTGGAGATGTTTTTTTTTGGAAGAGAGAGAACAAATGACAGGGACTATACTTGTAAAATATAGAAAGATTGATAAAAAGTACAATAAAGGTTAAAAATGCAAAAAAATAAGAAGAGGTACACGGTGCCACCGAGTATACTGGATACATCCTCTTCAATGACAATGCCATAAAGATCACAAGTGAAGTATTCTTGTTGAATTTACCCCCTCATTGTTTGATGAATTGACAGCTGAAAACCAAGAAGAGAAGCCCCACGTAAATTGTTGTAATGCTCAAATGTCAACAAATAGTTTGCATCTCACTTTATATTTCTGCAGTACTAAGCCTTGGTTTTAATCTTGAGAACTTGTATCCCATGAAATTAATGCACGAGGTCTCAAGTAGCCCTCGAGTCTTCACGGCAACGAGTACAGCTTCCCTCCACCCCCCCGCCCCCGCCCGCGGAAGGAGAGCGATTTTATCACCGGTTCTATTATAATAATGCTACTTAATGTAGAGGAAGCATAGTATTTGATCATAGTATGTCGGACAATAAAAATTTCCTGACTCCATTTAGATATAGTCATTAAAAAAAGAAAAAAGTTAACCAAACACCGGTAAAGAAACTAAAAGAAAGGGGAAAAAAAACACCCCACCAAAAACAAACACCACCATAGACCCCTTTTCTAACATCAATGCATGGTGAGAAGATAACTATTAGAGCAAGTGCGGAATGCTAGGCCTCCAGACCATCGGAATCCAGGTCTAGAGGAGGGTTATGGCGACCGGGCGGGAACTTTATTTTCCCAATCGAACGTTGAGGAACAAGTTTCACGTTTTCGCAGTTGCATATTTCGATCATGAACCCATCTGGGTCGTTGAAGAATAGCTGATCAATGGCTCCTGCTTCTTCATCACCAACTGTTCTTTTGATACACTTAATGTCGAACTCTTTCAACTTCAGCTCCATTGCCTTCATGTCCTCACACTTCACAACATCGATCACGTACCCAACAAATAAACAAGATAAATACACTAATTAAAACTATAAACTAGGGTTGCTTAGTCTGAAGAAAGGGGGGGGGGGGGGGGGGGGGGAGCGGTCGAAATTACAACATACCCCTACATACCCTTCAGTCCATCCTAAATAAATAGTCCAACAAATTTCAAAAACTCCATATGAAATTTCTTTTTGGAGGGACAGAGAATATTCATTTCATCTCGTTGTAGAATAATGTTTGTGGAATATCAATGCTAGTGGAAGTTTATAATCTGGTAATTACCTTGAATTTGTTCCAACACTGCTAGAAGTTAACTAATCCAAATTGTTTTTAAGAGATACTTCCTCGGCCCCAAAATTATTGTCCATTTTGAGATTTTACTTTTAGTACAAATTGAACTAAAAATAAAAACAAAAACTGGACAATAATTATGAGACGGAGGGAATATATTCTTGTCACTCAACATTTTATTTCTTCTTTCATTTGGGGGATAATACCATATATAATTAAACCAACTTGCTTACAATCATTCACTTTTACTATCTTATCCCAACCCTTCTTAAGATAGGATCCATGAAAAATAGACATAAAAAGTGTTACCAGAAGTGTTTAGTATGTATGAACGGGTTACAAAGTTGTTAACAACTGCAAACCAGACAAAATGCTACAATTAATTTTCCTTTGATTTTCACACACAATGCAAAGCTAGGTCACAGTTTTTATTTTAATGGAATGGGAAAAACAATGAAAAAAAAAAAAGGTAATGGATGAGAAATACCTGAAAGGAGATATGATTATCCATAGGGTCCAGATGGTCAGGATCATGAGGCAACCTATCTTCATCTTTAGCTTGCACCAAATGAATCCCAACACCATAATTGAAGAGCCAGGCACCGTCGAAATCGAAGGCTTGTGGCCTCTGAATTAGCACAAATCCGAGCACTTTTGTGTAAAAATCGACTGAATCTTTCACCGACCTACACAATCTCGAAACATGGTTTAACGCCATCAATGGAACATCATGCTGCTCCTCCTTATTATTCTTCGTATCATTACTGCCATTAATCTCACTGTAAGTTCCATTGGTTCCTTCTTGCTCCATTTCTTTTTTTTCTTTTTTCTTTTTTCTCTCTCAATCGGTGACCAGAATTGATGTGCAAGTATTGCTATTACGTTTTAGCTCTTCTTCAGCGTTACACATATTTCTTTTTGTTTACTTTGGCTTTGGGTTTTGCTTGATTTTGCATGGAAGTTTCGAGTTGTGACACGTGGTGATGCATGGAGCGGCACGTGTGATGAACTGGGGATGCTGGGATTCAAATTGGGTGCTGAATGCTGATGTGTTTCTTCGAATTTTCCTTGTATATTTTTTCCCATAAGGATTAAGGAGCTACATATTTTTAGTTTTATAGCAATAATTTAAATGGTTAAAAAAAAAAAGTCTACAATGACCAGTGGGATTAATTATTTTGAAGGTATGTTTAATGTTTGCATCGTTTTTTAATATGCATTTTTAGAAATTTTCTTTTTCTTTAGGGTGTAAAAGTACTAGAAATAAAAAATATATATATATAAAATAAAAAATATGTTGAAAAGTAACATTTATTCATAAAACAAGTTCTGAAAAAACTAGCGTAAAAGGAACCAAAGTGATTTTTGTGTAAATATTCTGTATGACACGTGTGTTAAAAAAATGGTTTATGTTGAAAGTAGCAACACAAAAGTGTCTAAAACGAAATTGGCACTTTTTTCTTTGCCTGATTTGCATTGTTGTTGTGAATTTGACGTATGCTTTTCTCGCCTCAAAATTTACACAGATTTTAAATTTACAGCCACCCTATAATTTAAAAGAATAAGAAAAAATAAACAGACCCACTTTCCAAAATTTTGGGGGGAACAAAGGAAGGAATGGGTCTACAAATGAAGTCCTCATACAAAAAAATCGTCTGCCAAAATCTGTTAAATGAATGATTCCGGGTCCTGAGAAAGTTACAGCTTCACCATGTTTTTGACAAAAACCAATCTATATCAACACTAACATTTATATCGTATAAAACTGGAAGGGAAAAAAAAAAAAAAGAAGAGAGAGAAACTAAATCCGCTACTGCCCAGAAAACTACATTCTAACTGCTTTCAAGAATCACAAGACTCTGGAAGACTGTAGAGATATGGTGTAAACAAAATATAACACTGGACCAAAAAGTGACGATACAATCTATATGAATGCCAGCCTTGCGCACATGGGAGAGAAGGGTCTATCGAACAACACCAAGAGAACTCGGCAGGATGCAGATTCATACTCTAATACATGCCTATAATCTCATTGTCTGCCTTGTTTTGATCATACGCTTCAGTGCCATTAACCAGAAATTGCATTCATCCCAGTCGGTGCCCGTAAGTTCTACCTGCACAACAAAAATATGATAGGTCACATCAGAACTAACACAGCATGTAAGAACCCAGGGATTGACGTGGATGTGAAAGAGAAGCACCTGTAATTTAAGGGCAGTGGCAAAATCACTATTGTCCAGAGCTTGGCATATCAGAGTAAGCTTCTCAGCAGCTCTTTTAGATATATCCCCACTATTCAGTTTAACAAATAACACCCCTAGCTTTCTTGAATTATCATCGATTTCTTTCCTCTTGGCTGGAATAGCTCTTGAACCCCCAAGGGCTTCCGATGTCTCGTGAAACAGTCTAGTCAAAGTTGTGATAACAGGCTTTTGTTGAGCTGAAACAAATGCTCAAGTTGAGAAGGGTAACAATGGCAAAAGGTTGACAAGCAAATGAATTTAACTTTCACAGTGTCGACCTATTTTCTCAATTTAGTTGTACTTTATCATCTCACTGATGTCAAACAAAGCAAGTTCCCAACAAAGCAAAAGTTCACTATGAAGCCAACCGTGGCAAGGGTATCAATTTAATCAAAAGAAACGTCCCTATGTCCTCAATGTGTTTATCAATCAAAATTTCAAACTCATTGAGTTCTTGGAATTGATTTCAAGGCATTGCATTTTAAAACTTCAAGCCAGATTTCAGTCTTAATTTGATCAAATTTACCACATATTCCTCTTCACTTCAAATTAATTTTAACACACTCCCATTTCCTGTGATTGAGTTCCACAAAACAAATCAAGTTCAAGAATTGACCATTTACCAAAAATATAGCGTGAAAGCTGAAAAGTCAAATAAATTAAAAGAGCATATACCATTGTTTAATAAGTAATATGAACCTTAGTAACAAATACTCAATAATGTCACGATACTACACGTTCAGAGTCCTAAAAGAAGTCTTTCTTTGCATCTCTATATTCAAAAACATTTTACCCGGAACATCATACCAATGTGATGATAATAACTAGTTCATGGCTAAGATACATACTGGGGGAAGATATAAGATCAAAAGAAAAAAATATAATTACATGGTTCGACTCTATGTTGCCTATGGTCAAAGCAGATAGTTACTAGGACCAATGTAATGTATATAGATTGCATATAAATGTGACCAATGTATCTAAATGATATGAAAACAAAAACAAGTACAACTACAAATTATGATTCAGAAAGTTCATATATTTGAAGTTGATTTTCACTTCGAGGTACGTCCAGTTCTGTCATCAATTCAGAAAATGAATACTACTACCTAATGTATTTAGCTACGATAAAACAAATATTATTAAGGTAATCCAAGTACGATGCTACACGGAAATAGAACTCTAAATAAATTGAATATTCCAATCATAGGAGCACATGTCTAATACCCGCAAATACCCAAGACAGAAAGATAAAAATGAAAATCTATAATTCAAGCAGAAACTTTATATTAAGTATCAGCTACAAACATGGAAGAGATGGAAATGTTTACCTGGGACATTTGAAGTATCAGCTGTCTGGACTGTGGGAGGAGGAGGAGCAGGGGTTGCAGGCGGTTGTATCGGAGCAGCCTGAGTAGGGCTAGAAGGTTGAAAACCACTCACTGCAGATCTAGGAACTCCTGGATTATTGGTTGGCATAAATCCTCCGGAAGTCGATGAAGGAGCCGCAACAGGGGGTATACTTTGCATTGCAGGCGGACCAGTCTGAACAGTATTTGGTACGAAGGAACCAGCCCCATAGGGGCTAGCGTGATAATTAGCATTATTTGCCGCCTGAAACAAAAGTTAGTCTCAGAATAACATTCAATACATTCAGTTTAAACAAGATATGCACACACATACAGGATACAACTGAGAACCCAGTGTTGGCTGTGTTGTTGGCTGCTGATACTTCTCCACATTTGCCAGCTTACGACCAGCAGATGGAACAAACGTTGTCACAGGTTGCTGATTTGTGGCAGGGGTCGAAGGAAAGTTACCCTGCAAGGGATGAACACAAAAGGTACTCGGTACATCATCGTTGGTCAAATTAACAATCTCTATAGCACAATGAATCTCCGAAAAATAAGGACATCTACCAATTCAGCACAAAAAAAACAAAAAACAAAAAAGAAGAAAAGCTGAAGCACTGGCTAGTTCGCAAACAGCATAATAATCACAAATTTTTTAAAATCAAAAAATTTATTTCAGGCGATGAAAGATGTAGAACTAATCATAGCGATGCGATACAGGCAGCAATACGGCACAAAGCGAAAAATGAATCTTCATTTTGGCAGATTGAAAATAAAGATATCCTGCAACTCTAGGCAGTGAAGGGAAATCGGAGGACTAGACATTTGTTTCAACTCCCTAGATAAACAAATCACTAAATAACAATACTTCTCGAGATCTGATCGAGGAAGATATCCAATGCACTACATTCAAGTAAGACAAACACAATCAAACGCTTGACAGGATAAGCACCCAAGCTACACAAATGCAAATAAAATCTATTCATTAACCTTCTTAATCTAAAGAAAGAAATACTTAGTACAGTTTATGCCAGAATTTAAATTTACCGGTGTATTTGGAGGTGGATGAGATGGGACAAAGATGTTTGTTGGTGGAATGTTAGGCAGATGAGCAGGTAACCCAGCATTTGAATATGGGGTAGGTGACGGAACAGGGGGCGTATATGGAGCAGGAGACGGAACAGGGGGCGTATATGGAGAAGGTGACGGAACAGGGGGCATATATCTATATGAATTGTTGGGAAGACCAGTCCTCGGCTGCGGGTAGGGATTTTCCTGAAGAGCAAACACCAATAATCAGACACAAGGAGTTACACAAAAAATGCCACATACAATTTCATTTCCTACAAAGTAAACATAATTACCGGATGCGGATCAATAGATGTGGAGTTTGGAGTCACTTTATCTGCACCAACAAGTTGACAAAAACAATTAGAAAAGATTTAAATAACTTGTAAGTCTTCCCTTATTCCCATTTTATCAGCAAAATATGATAAAGAGAAATTAATCAAATACAGTGAAGAACATATTCCATCTCATTCATGCCCATACACAACATCCCAGATCCCCAGATCGTGTACTCAAATAAGAAACAGATCATAGACCTAACTTAGAAGTTGATGCTAACAAAACAGCCAGCCACACTTCAAGAAACTAACATCAACAACGTATTTGAAACCACCTCAATGTGAAATAAACTTAATGAAAAGAGAGCAGCATATGAGAAAATGAAGCAAATACAGCAGACAGAAAAACAAACTACCTAAAATGATACATAGTAAAGCATTTGAAGTTTTATTATAAAGATAAAGATTAAAAATGATTAATAATAAAGCATTTAAGTTTCATTATAAAGATAAAATAAAAAGTAAGCAAACAACGTGAAGTTCCGAACCTTCTTCCATGGAGCGTGCAATTCGATCATGTAGAACTGTCAATTCAGGAGACAATTCTTCTGTGCCAAGCAGCTTCAAGTACTCCATTGCTGTACTTAGAAGGCCTTGACTGGCCAATATTTCAGCATACTTTTCAATAAGTTTGAAAAGAGAAGCACTTTTCTTCTGTCCCGACGCCACAGCTAAGACAATTGTTTTTTCCATCAAATCCTTAAAGACACAAAGGTAGGCATGGAAAGTTAGCATTATTGGCAAGTACAAAATTTGCATAAGGTAAAAGATAGCTTAAAAACCTGAAAAAGCTCGACATAGGGCTTTCCATCATGTTCGCCTGCAAGATTCCTTGACCATATTTCCACAGTTTTGTCTATGTTGCCAGCACAAATGAAGCAAAGAGTCGCTGCAAGGGTATTACCAGCAGCCATGAGCCTAGATGCAAGCGTATCACATAACAAGGTCCACTCCTCTTGTGCTGCAAACTGTAAACCATAGAAAATCAATAAAAAATGAAGAACATAGGAAGAAAGAGTAATTGGGGACAACAGGACACAATATCCACAGACGCAGCAGCAACAGTCCATTATTGCCGCAGTAAATGTTCGCACGATACTTTGCAATCTTATCGGAGCAAGTAAAATAAGCAAATGCCAAGAGTAAAAGGTAGGTCTTGGGAAGAAGCTGGTGGTGGAATTATTGTGAAAAGTGTAATCACAGAAAAGAGATTTTATTATCTCATTCTCCTCTATTAGATTTTTTATGTAGGTTCTTCAAAAAGTGACAGCAGCATATTGCTACTCATCTTGGATTATAGTTCATTCTTCCACATAACCAAATAATTGTTTCAGATTACTTCTCTGTAGAAAACCTTAAACGGAGTGTCACTTGCAAAAGAACCTTGTGAGAAAGTTCCAAAAGAATCAGATGTATAAACTAGAAAGAAGCATTTAATATAGATGATGCAAAATTTTCAAAGTTATGTCATGTACAAATTGAACCAGATCCAGAGTACAGCAAAGCTAAAAAGTAGTTTGCAACTTCAGTCAACGTTTGCCCTTAAAGAAGAAACTTACAGTGCAGAGAAGTGCAATTGTTTCTTTCCAGGCTTTCAGAGGTCGAGTGTTCACAAGGCTCATGAGGTCATGATTGACCATGGCAGCGACCACCTGCAAAACCAAACACATTAATGCCGCAAAAGATGAAACTTGCAAATAAAAAGATTAGCAAATTCCAAAAGATAGAATTCTCATAATACCTTAAGATAAGGAGAACGGCTAGCTTTAAGGTATTGATCGCGTGTGCTCTCCCACAACAACGCATCACCAGCATGAGCAATAACCAATGCATCTGCCATTCTGTTGGCCGATATGCATTGAGCAACTGCCCCTTTGTAGTCTCCAACAACCAATGCACGTTGCACAGCATCATCAAACGATGCCTCAGTAGGATCTACATCTCCCTCCAGTTCTTGCTGAGATGCGTCCTCTTCAACAGGGACAAAGTCGACAGCAGTAGGTTTACTCCCAGAAGCAGACACAGGCGTTTCAGCTTTGGGACTAGGGAGATTGTTGAAAAAGTCTTCCCCATTATCAAAAGCATACATGACTGTTTCCTTACTCGCAGCAAATTCATCCCCAGCAGCAACACCTTCATTGAGATCAAGAGCATTCACCTGGTCAGAAATTCCATTCTCTGCAGAGTAATTTTCCCCAGAAGGTGGATTAAAACCAAGGTGAGAAAGCAGTTTAGTCCTTGCTGTCCCATCTTCATCAAACATAACCTTTAAGAAGGCCCAAATCTCTTTCTCATCCTCGGACCTGTGAAATGGGAAAACAAAACAAATGAATAAAAGTTGCTGGGTACAATAGCACACAAGTGATATAATTTATTTCAATCTTTCAAGAAAACCAAATATCTCAATCAACACGTAAACTATGAGTCAAAGAGAGGAGAACAAAAAGGGACGCACTGTGATTCCTGAGATTTCTTCTCACATAAAAGCCTCCAAGAAGATTTCTCCCCATTCTGAATAGCAGCCTCAAAATCAGAAGATCTGGTTACCAGGCTATGCTCCGTAACTAAATTGTGCACATAAACCTAAAAATAGAAGCAAAAATTAGTAGAAGGGGCAAAAGAAAAAGATGATAATCGCAATGCCATTTATGCATAATTGTTCACTAAACGTATAAATGAGAATCATAAAAATAACAGCATAGATGCATTAAGCATGCCTCTGAAGATCCAACTGAAGCCTCGGAAGACTTAAATGACACAAGCTTGCCACCAAATCCAAAGGAAACACCTGCTTTACGCTTGTACCATTTTGGTGCCCGGAAAGATGCTGCAGAAAATATTATATATTAGGCAAAGAACAAAAAAATTGATACATAAACATTATATCAGATGAAAATGGCAGAAAATAGAAGGCAGCACCAATGAATGATGCCCAAGTAATGGGCCGTGTCGAAAGATTTGAGTTATGACATGATTTCAACATGGCCACACATATAATCACAATAAACAAAGGGCTCGACATGAAACTATAAAGTCAAACCCCTCCGACATATTCAGCTGCTGAGCAAATTGTCTGTAATTTATGATAAAAATAACTGAACTAAGTCAAAGACCACAGTTCCATGCATGCAGAAGTATATAAAGCAGTGCAGCCTATAATCTCCCGTAGTGATAATAATAATACTAATGAAGGACCTAAGTGTTCGGAAACTAAGGAGGTGCCTGGTTTGTGGGTTTTATATCTTTTCTATGGGTTTCACCCTCTTTCATTCCAAATAAGTGTGCTTGGTTCAGTTTTACGGGCCCATTTCTTTCATTCCTAGGGCCAACTTTCATTCCACACCAAATAGATGGGCTTGGCTTGGCTTTGGCATAATTGAACAACAATATTTCATTTTTTATTTTCTTGCCTTCATCTACCCCTTTTCTCTCTCTCCTATCCACACACAGCAGACTCCAGAGGCATTTCTTTTCCAATGAAACTCTTCTCTTCTTTCCGTTTTTTCTCTAAGAACGAAATTTCACTTTCCTCCATGGCCACCATCAACGTCACAAATTCCAGTTATGCTTCTCTCTCTTTTTTTTAGAATTTATTTTTCAAGAAAATAACTTCTAAAATCAATTGAAATCAATTCAAAGATATAATTGCTAGGTAACTTCGCTTCTTATTAGTTGACATAATTAAGCTCATCCTATTCCATTGCCAATCGGGTCATATATATCGGAGCCTCTCTATTCTTGATTGAATTACTAGATATTTGTTCTAGATCCTTTTTTTTCAAACTGAAGAATCGATTTGAAATATCATGAGCATTTGTTGTGAGGGTAGACTTCCGAGTCTTGAAAATTTGGGCCCTCAAATAATTTCCTACTAAAGGGAGGGTTCGGGAGGGTGGTGGTGTAAACAAAAGTGGTGGTTCCTGCTAAAAGGAGGGTTAGGGAGAGCGGTGCTGTAAACAGCGGTGGTGAGTAGGTGGTGATCTTCGTTTGAGATAGGGGATAAAGATGTAATTTTGAGTCAATCTGATGTAATTTTGAGTCAATCTGAAGTAATTTTGAGTCAATCTCAAATTCAGAAGACATGTGAACCAAGCAGTTGATTGAAGTTTGATACCCAATCCCAAACCCTTGGTCTATGATTCCCTCCTGACTATCATATCCATTTAGCTGAACCAGGCACCTCCTAAATATAAAGGTGAAAACAAACGGGAGTATCAAATAAGAATAATGACACAGATGTGTAGCCACACAAAACTCCATAGAACATGTAATGCCTGTATCAGACCAGGCCCCAAACAGATGGGAAAATAAGGAAGCATGCTTAGCTTTTTTATGCTCCAGGATGGCATGCAGAAAATATAGTAACTCACTTTAAAAAGCAAGGAAAAAAACACTTTGGAGATTTTGCAAGAAACTCTTGAAAAGAATGACTATTAACCAAGCGGTTGGACAACAATAGCAAGTCATCAACCTTACAGCACAATAGCTGCTGTTGACAAAAGCTTAAAAATTGTTTTATTTTAGGAGCAACTTTCTTTCCACCAAACATCTCAGGGCAAGGTTGGCGTTATATAATGTATCCAATAATTATGACAATGATCTAGTTGCTTTCATAGGTATATGCAGCTCTCCAAAACTACCGAGTCAAGAAATATACCTGGACTAACATCACCTTCCCTACCATATCGACCACAGCCCTGCAATGTGAGGATAAAACATAATTGAAACAAGTCATACAATTGTGAAATTCCACTTAAAATCCAACAATGGGGAAACATAAAACCATAAAATTCCTTTTCAGCTTTTGTTTCGTGTGTGAAATCTGCGAGCGTGTGCACGCGCACTCGTGTGCGTGGGGGGGGGCGGAATGCAACATCTGACGGCAGCCCACAGTTAAAAAGAAAGAGCAACATACCCAATTTCCTATTTACTTGTCAATGCATGGGCATCTTCAGTTCAAAAGCCAGCCATAACAAACTCAAAACAGTAAAATGAAAGTATGCGGTACATTTATGCCTATAGACGTATATTGTCATGGAGATACACTGATTTGACACAAAATGTAATCTTGGGTTTATATCTTTCAACAAAGAGGGAAATTTAATACACATAATCGCACCTAGATGCCCAACCGTAAGTAAACCACCCTGCAGCCAGTGGTAAACATGCTAAATCACATAACACGAAAACAATGATGCAATCATGACAAGGGAGTGAGCCCACTGCAAAATTATTTAGCATAAAGATGGAACAAAATATGCATATTTTCATCCTCCGACTTGGCAACCAGTGATCAAACAATGAATGCATCAATAAAGACACCAACCTCTATGTTATAAATGCCAATTTTGCCATCATAAGAAGATGCTGATATAACCCCAGGAATTCTTGGATACCAATGTACATCAAAATTCCAGTTTGTTCCAGCTGGTAATTCAGCCACAATCTGCACAATGTAAACACTGAGAGATTGTAAAAGCAAAGAAATATTCGATAACTGGCAACCACATACTTCGAAAAGTAAACAGGGACAAGGGAGAAGCAATCATCAACACGCTCCTTTACCTCTCCAGATGTGACGTCCCAACAAATGGTCCTGTTATCCTTGGCACAGGTAAGCACATAGGAACTATCAATTGGACACCATGACATGGCAATTACCCCTGGAGTAGAACACAGAGTGCAAAATCTGAGATTTTGATGGAAAGAACGGCCGAGCTGAAACTAGTCAAGAAGTTCTTAGATCTTTCCTCTTTTTCATCGAGCTGTAAATAGAGAACTCAACCAGACCACTTCTTCTATAAGGCAGTTTATCGTCCAATAGCCTATAGAAAACCTTTTCTCTGTCCTTTCAACTTACAGAGTCTTTATTTGAAGCTAAGTATCCAATCTTTTTTCAAGACATCTCAAAACGGAAAATATACAATATGCACCTTTTATAAGGTACTTAGACACCAATTTTTTTAGATAGTAATAACTAAGTGTCCAAACTAGCATAAAACAACCTTTTTAATTTGTTAATTGGCTCGGAATCTAAGGCAGGTATTAAACGATATCAAAAAAATAAGGAAATTTACAAGAAAAGTGGAATTGAGATAAGTAAAATCCATTGGAGTTTTCTTCATCAACAGTAGCACTCAAAACACCTTGACTAGACCAAGGGGAGTCAATGGATAGTGGGGACTGGGGAACCCAGCCATTTTCGAAAATCAAAGCATGTTGAAGTAGTGAACACTAGACACACACCAACATATTTATAAGAAATAAGCTTTGAATGGTAAAAAGAACCCCAGCCTTTACATGAAACAATTGTATAAACTAAATACAAGCTGCAAAGAGTCAACATACAACATATCCAATTGCACAAGCTCACAAACCTTTTGTGTGCCCAACAAATTCTTTGACTGGAGCCATCACATTACGCAGATCCCAGAGCTGATCAAAAAGACAGTAAAATTCCAGTGATGACTGAAAAATATCTTTGGGAGTAACAAAGTCACCTCAAGGAAGCCTTACCCTTAGAGAAGGAGAACTATCTTCATCTGAAGCCACAACCAATTGAGTTGCAAGCTCAGGATTCCACTGCAAAACAGAGCACCGCCTCCCTACTGGATCAGGGAAACTGCAAGTTGGGTTACAAATGTAAGCACTAGGCTATACTACATCAGAAGATAAACCAAAACGCCCCCAACAATTATCATCAAGAGCAGAGAACTTACCTCATCACTGGCTTTTGCTTCTTTAGATCCCATACCACTGAAATGACAAAAAATTTCAATATGCAACTAATAGCACGCTGCTAAGCGCAAATTACAAAAATAATTCTTACCGGTTGTCCCATTGTATGAAGTTGAAGCCAATATGTGTTGGGCTTTGGCATTCCATGACAAAAACGAAATTTCGCCTTGAGTAGAAGATCCACTACCCTAAGAAGATTAATTAACATCAAAGTAAGAACCATGGGATAAGTACAAGAGAAGAAGCAAGAACAAGCAAGAACAGGATTCAACAAGTTTATCCTACTACTATACGTGGTAGGCCAAATGTTATTCTTCATATCCTGCCAAAACACATATCTACATACAAGTTCGAATATAGTGCTGTTTCTAACAAGAAAAAATAAAAACAAATGAAACTTCAATGTATGACCAAAACAAGGCACACCATACAGAAGTTTAAATGCATAGAGAAACTGCAATAGAAAGATATTACAATATCTGACTCCAACAAACATGTAGCCTTTTAATCTGGAGAGTTGAGACATTGAAGCAACTTCAACACATGCATATATGGTGTAAGCACTTATAATATGACGTGCTCTCTACGAGTGCCGGCTAGACATCGTTTTATTCAAATTACTTTTAAGAGCAAACATCTCAGGCATAGGGAAAAGTTCTTTTGATTAAAATAGCTTTAACATATTTCGTCCATTTCACTAAAAGAAAAAGCAAAGCAGAGGAGCCACTGTCCAGGACATAAATGCAACCCAAAAAATAAAAAAAAGTAGGGTACCTTTAGAGGAGGGAAATGGGTAGGCTCAGTTGGATTTGCAACATCCCATATGCAGATTTCCCCTTCATCAGCCCCAGATGCAAGAAGGTTTGGAGAATAAGCATTGAATTCAAGTCCTCGAACCTGAGCCATTTAATATCGCAAAATTAATGATCATACATGAGCTGATGAACCACGCCCCGTTAACTTTCTCCACACATAACACCATATAAACACGTATCTACATTCCTGAAAATTAGAAAACTTACAGGTCCCCTGTGCCTCGACAGATTTTGAATAAAGGCACCTTCAACTAATTCAGGGCTTTTTTTACTTTGATGAGCACTGAAGAAAAGAAGAGACAATATGAATCGGTTACCACTTTTCAGGCAACAAAGGGGGAAAAAAGAAAAAACACAAAGAACATCAAGTTAATTTGTACAAGTTAAATCATAGCATGTATCGCTTTGATGCCTAGGCTATCAAATCTCTACCATCCTCTCTACCCTACAGTGTACAAACTACGAGCCAAGGGCTTCAAAAAGCTATGGAAAATTTTCTGTTTCCTCTCTTTCACATTGCACCCGTGAAAAATATTACCTTTAAACTGTTGGTCTAAAACATCATGTTCAATTTCAAAAAGAATTGATATCTCACATACTAACAATCAAACTAATTCTGGGGTTGTCATATAATTTGGGGGAAAAGGAAAAAGAAAAAAAAATAATAAACAATAATAAAGTGAAATCATAAAAGACAATCTCCATATTCTTGATTTTGGGGGGAACAGGCCCCTCAATGCTAATTATTATACTAATACATAAATATAAAGTGAGAATGTTCCAAAACTCATCAAAACCCCAACATTTTCCTGATACGAATCTGTTAAACGTGGCTGCATAATGTGTTACAACAAGGTTATTACTGGTTATATCACAAATACGTTCTAATGGCAATCAACTGGCTTTGAAAGTTGAGCTGTTTCACACCCAAACTGAATTGAAATTTATGCGAACCAAACCCCTAATTTAACCATGCCAGCAATTCAGGAACGCAGATTTTCAAAATCTATACTATTTAGACCAAATTAAGATTTCAGATCAATAATATTACGAGATCAGAGGCTTCGGATTCCAGAGCCCAATGTTCCCATCGACTAGCCCACCAGCAACGAGCCCGAGAGAGAACTCCTCAGAATTAGGCAGCGGTTTTCCCCACGACAGTCGATTGAACCTCTCCGAGCTGGGTACAGTGCCGGCTAAGATCAACTGCCGATCGTCCGACGCAAAGTCTAGCTCAAATATGTCAATATTCGCCGACGAACTGAATTGCAGATCCACCGCCCCCGCCATCGTTCCGGCGGCCAGATACGGTGCGTCCGGCGCGAACGCCACACAGGCGGATCTGTTCACGCCTTTTATTATCGTCATGACACCGGAATCACAAGCTTATCCCCGTTAAAGAAGAAATTGCACAGTGATTTAGGGATACAGAATTTAGTGATTGAATCTATGTAATAGTATGAACGACAAACAGAAGGGAGAAAGGGGGGAGAAAGAGTAGATCGAGAGAGGGGGAAATGGAGAGAACTGCACTTATGCAACTGAGCGACTCTGTGTGTGCGTGTTTTTTTTTCCTCGGATTTTCCTTTTCTTTTTTTCCACCTCTAATGTTTTGGTTAATTTCGGTTCATGTTCGATTTATAATTTCGGTATATGTAGGGCTTTTGAAATACCAAAGTTATAATACGTGTTTAGTCGCATCAGCCAATGAGATGTTGCCATGTCGGCAACATTTTACCGGAAAGTTAAATTCATTTTTATCTTCTCTTAACAGCAGTATATAGTTTGTTTAATTTTGTTATAATTAACTATAAAGTCACATGTGTTACACAGAAAGGTAGCACGTTGTAAGATTTGTAAGTTTGTTTTTAGATTGTCTCTTTTTCCTTTTGTTTTTAATAGGGGGGTGGATTTTTAAAGCTACCCGCTTTACTACTCAAAGCCACCTAATAAAAATTGGACGATTTTGCTCCTGTCATTTAATTAATACAGTAGAGAGAGAAAGAAAATGAGCAATTCAGAGGTAAAAAAAAAAAAAACTTAACAAAAAACCGAACCGGATAAGAAAACCGTCCCGGTTGAACTGGGGACGCGCAACAAACGCATCCGGCCATTGAACCGGACGCGTTCATTGTGCGTTCCCGGTTGAACCGGGCACACGCAACCGGGGACGCATGTGTAATGCGTTTGTTGCGCGTCTCCGGTTCAATCCGGACGCGTGTGTTGCGTGTCCGGTCATTGAACTCGGTCCAACCGGACGGGCCGGTTCGGTGAACAGTTTTTTTTTTTAATTTTAATTTCATGCATGTTATATGTTAATTTATTTGTTAATTTAATTAGTTATGTTAAGTAATTTAATTAGTTGAATTAAATTTATTAAATGCATGGTATGTTAATTTAATTAAGTAGGAATATTATTATTTTATTTGTTAATTTAATTAGTTATGTTAAGTAATTTAATTAGTTGAATTATATTTATTTATTGCATGTTATGTTAATTTAATTAAGTAGGAATATTATTAATTTATTTGTTAATTTAATTAGTTATATTAAGTAATATAATTAGTTGAATTAAATTTATTAAATGCATGTTAAGTTAATTTAATTAAGTAGGAATATTTTTATTTTTATTTGTTAATTTAATTAGTTATGTTAAGTAATTTAATTAGTTGAATTTTATTTATTTATTTAGGTTTAATTAATTAGAGATAATATTTATTTAGGGGGGGAATTAAATAATTAAAGAATTTTGTGGAATAAGTATTTTATTAAGTATTGAAAATGTAATTAATTAAATATTTAATTAATCGTTAAATTAATGAATTCTAGCTATTTAGGTAGGTATTGGGAAATTTAATTTAGTAAATAATTTTGGATTAGTTGAGTTTTTGTATTTTTTTATAATTAATCTTTTTACTGTAAATATATGTTTTTTTATTATTTATTATAATTGTATATCTTTTTAAATGATTGGAATGTGTGTTTAATTTAATTTATAATGCAGTTTTTTATTGTGTTAATTTTATGTATGATTTGCAGGATTCTTTCAAAGATTTTGGTGGCTATGGTGAAGATTATAGTATATTGTTTGCTACAGATGAGGGATTTTCGGAAAAGGATGATGTTGTTGCTTGGGTGAAAGGCATGGGCATGGCAAATGGTATGATAATAAACGTAGTTTCTAGCAAGAGGAAGAATGCTGTTCTGATGAGATGCTATAAAGGGGGAAAGGTGTCAGTTGATGATGGTGAATACTATGTCACATCAAATTCGAAGACACAAATCACTAGGTGTAAATTTAAGTTATATGTGCACTTAGTTGATGGGAAGTGGCGCATTCGAGTGTATCCTGATGAGTTTGGAATGCATAACCACGAGCTGTTTGACGAAGATCATCCCACGAGGGGCCTTAGCGATGGAGTGAAACAACTTATGCAGGGTATGTCCAAAGATGGGAGCAGACTATGTCAGATCATGACTGCGATTGAGAGGATATTTCCTAATAAACAAGTTAACAGACGGTAAGTCTACAATTTCAGGAAGAAATTGCGTAATGAGGGGTTCCCGGTCTTGGGTGACTCGAATGCCATGGATGTCGCGACGAAGACACTATCGGTGGCCAAGCATCATCGTTACATCATCATGACAGATTGCAATCAGGAGACAGGTGTGCTGACTCGTATTTTTTTTGCACATCCTGATGCTGTCAATTTGTTTTGCAGTTATTTCTGGGTCGTCGGGATAGACTCAACATACAAGACGAACAAGTACAAAATGTCGTTGCTTGAGTTTATTGGGATGACACCGTGCAACCAGAACTTTTTGATTGCATACGCCCTCTTGAGTGACGAGACTGGTGACAGTTATTATTGGGCTTTGAGAAAGTTTAGGGATTTGCTTCCTGGTCATCTGTCTCCGGCTGTTATTGTTACTGATCGGGAACCGGAGTTTATGGCGCCGCCAGGTATGGTATTCCCAGATTCATGCCACTTATTGTGTGTTTGGCATGTTTATGAGAATGTAAAGCGACATCTCAACAAGGAATTGAAATTTGATGCCAAGATTGCACATGGTTTTGCATATGGGTTGTGGAAAAATGTTATGGAAGCTAATAATCAGGATGAGTACAATAAAGCTATTGCTCTAATAAACCGTCGTTGGCAGTGTTTTCCGAGAGTTCTTAATTATATCCAGAACACATGACTAGTGGTTGACTACAAATTCGTCAAGGCATGGACGAATGATGTGTTTCATATGGGCAACACTACTACATGTAGGGTGGAGAGCGCGCACAAGTAGTTAAAAACTTGGCTGGAAACATCCACGGCGTCGCTGGATACACTTTGGGCTAAGGTGCACTTGGAAATTCAGAGTCAGCTAACTGAAATACGGTAAGTTCTATTTCATTATATTATATTTATTATAATATATTTAGTATTTTTTTGTTTTTATGACATTTTACGTAGAATATTTTACAGTAAGTGGCTACATTCAGGTACAAACTGGAGTACTCGAGACAGAAAATTGGCACCCATTATTGCAGTTTTCCACTGAATCGCTTGAAGTGTCAAGTTTCACATACATATTTGCAAAAACTGTACACTGAGTGGTCGAAGGCGCAAGAGTGGAAAGAAGAAACGAATGACAGATGTGATCATGTGGTGTACTGGACTTGTCGAATTCCATGTGTGTGCGCCCTCAAAAAGGCTGCAGATGCCGGCACATCGATAACTCTGAAGCATATTCACCCATTCTGGGTGACCGTTAATATCGGTGAACAGGCTGGTACGAGTGCTCCTAGCGATGTGGATGACGATGTCCTTTATACCAGACAGTTGATGGAAGAGCTGAACGAGTGTCCTAAGGCAGTACGACGCACGGTAAATAGGGCTCTCCACGATATTATGCATCCAGACCAGTGTGGGTTCAAACAACCCAAGGAGGTCAAGAGAAGGAAGGAGCGGTCTAAGGGGGCTAAATCAAAGAAAAAAGTTACCAGCGACACTCTTGCCCATGAACAATCCCCATAGAAAAAAGCAATACCTAATGTGTAGGATTACAGGGACGAGGCTCAAGGAAAGTCGACCACAGTTACTAGATATTGGTATTATCTAGTATCTAATTTGAATGTTTTTTATGATTTGTGCAATAACAAACCTTGTTGGCCATAAAAATAAAAACTTACCACACGGACACCAAATAAGCTAACTAATATATAACACACAATTTGCGCATAAAAAAAAAACTAAATGCAATCCAAGAAACAAAAAAAAAAACAAAACAAATCCAGTCCAATAATACGACAATGACAATGATCATGGGGCCTTGTAATAAAGGATCATCGTATCCTGTAGCTTCTTATCACATTCGTCAGCTAGCTCGCGATCGGACACTTTGACCCTTTTAATCAGGTTCCGAGTGGTTTTCCTCAATTCATTCATCCACTGAAAAAAAACCGCCAAAGGTTAAACTATTTATGATATAGAAATGTATATCTACAAAAATCCAAATATTAAAAATACAACTTACATAATTCTGACTGCTCCTAGCTGGTGTAGAGACTGCAGATGGGTCAGTTGTCGGCAGTAGAAATGGATGTGAATACTGCCTATACCATTCAAGGTACCCATCCTCACACTCTCTTATGATGTCACCGATATTGGGTCGCCATCTGGTCAAATTAATACACGTTGACATCGGGAATCTCCTCCAAATAATGCTCTACAAAGTACTGGGTAGTTCTGGATCCTCAGAATGCATCATCAGGGGACATGGGCAAACGAGAAATACTCTCTACGTAGCCAATCTGACGTAACATCTGTCCGGCATGTATAGCTCCTGCAAGTTCCTATACATTATCCACCCACTGTAGAGAGTCCTCGGAACTATTCCCTGTTGGCCATGACCAAATGGCTCCCACTTTACCTGCAAAATATTATTTAGATTATTTATAAATATAAATTTCAACAAAAAAATGAAATACAGTCAAATTAAGCAATCATGTACCTCTAACTTGGTGAAACGGTCGAGACGCTCCCTAACCTGACGAACACGATCTGGCACAGATGTCGGCCCCGCAAAAGATGGTGGTATCCAGTCATGTACTCTGGGCCTGTCATTACCCCCATGGGTAACTCGCCCTCTCTGGGGGCGGAAAATCGGGAAATATTCGTAAATTCAGGCCTGTAGTAGGGTCAAATAACCACCTAACTGAGTGCACTTTGCCCTACTAGCCATCCCTAACTGACGGTATAGGAATGCAAGCGTAGCAGAGCCCCACGAATATGAAGCCATATACTCGATCCCAGCCATCAGCTCATGTACAAGTGAAACACTGCATCTCCCACCACTCTTGCCCATGAACAACGTCGAGGCCAGCAATGCCCACAAGAAAGCAGAGACCTGGGTATTCTCGTCCGCTTTCTGGCATCGCTCAAGGATGAACCAATCAGAGACACCGCCGTGACTCCATTTGTAACCATTCACATCCAGGCCAAGTATCCTTCTGCATGTCCCCTCAACACATCTATCTCGGACGTACCCGACACCAACTCTCCATCAACCCCAATGCCCAAAATATGATAAACATCATGCATCATGATGGTCATCTCCCCAAACGGGAAATGAAATGAGTTGGTGTCCGGCTGCCACCTCTCAACAAATGCACTCACTAAGCCAAAATCAATATCTTCATACGAGGTATGAAGAAGGTGACCCAATCCATTCCCCCGAATCTTGCCTTTCACTACATCATCCATATCTTTGTACCACATCTTCAACTTATTCAGAATCTTTTCGCCTTTAAAAATCTTCAATTTGGGTCTATTGTATCCATGCCAGAAATGATAAGCAATATGCCCAAGGAAGCTAGGAATCACGCTACAATCTTTCGGTCCACCAGGTACTTCATCAGTCACTAGCCATATAGTCGGATCAATTTCATCAGAAACTCTCGACTGGTTGCTGCCGCCTGTACCTTGAATGAGTAAACCAAATATTATTTATTATATTTTATACACATAAAACAATTCAATAAATATAAGTGAAAATAATTAATTCAAAATAATTACATAATTGTAAATAATTACAACAATTACATATAGATATTTGGTACCTGATGATGCAGTAGTGGTAACTGGATGTGTAGATACTCCAGCGGAGACGGGACCTCTGCGAGTGAACACGGGATCAATGTGTGGGGGGGGGAGATGCCTGAGCGGGGCGGTAGGGATGAGGTCGACTACCGGTGGATATACCCTGTGGGAATTGACTGGGACGCGGGAAAGAGGGACTATAATGTGGACTGCGCCACTCACCACTCATAGGAGAAAGAATAGGGGTAGGGGGAGAGGGTAAACCGCCAAGACCAGGCCGTGGACAACTGGAGTACCGGGGAGGAGGGTAACTACTGAGATTGTATATAGGCGTATCTCTGTGATGCGCACCCATCCTAACACTGTCATGCACATCATCCTCATCAAACTCATTCTCCTCATCCTCCTCATCCTCCTCTTCCAGGTCGTCCTGAGAATACTCGTGTACATAAATCAGCTGACTAGACCGAGTCTGAAACGGTACACCACCCATATTGACCTGAGTCATTTTCATTCGCTTCTTTAAATCTTTTTCCTCTTTTTTCTTCAGACGACTCATGGTCTGATAACGCGCACGAACCTTATGCTTACTAGTATCTTCAGTATCACTAGTATCACTATCATCATCATCATCACAATAAACCTATAAAGAAGATTTTATTCATCATCATCATATTTTCATAGTCTAAACAAATAATTATACACATTTCCTTAATTCTTTAATAATTAAGTACACTTTGATTAAACATACAATTCATATAATAATTAAGTAAACTAAAGTACTTTACCAAATTTTTTATTAAATTACTATTAATTATAATTAATCCAAAATACTCAACTATTTTACAAAATATTTATATTAATGAATTAATCATAAACTACATTACAAACAAACTAGATTAGCTTTGCTAATATACTAATAATTAAATTAAAAATATAACGTAAATACTTTAATAACTATTTAAATTAAATACTTTAATCAATTAAACTAATTAGGTAGTGAACTAATATACTATTAATTAAATTAATTTTTAAAATTCAACTCATTTACATACTATTTAAATTAATTTAATCAATTAAAATGATTAACTTTACTAATCTACTAATAATTAAATTAAAAATATAACCTAAATACTTTAATAACTATTAAATTAAATACTTTAATCAATTAAACTAATTAGGTAGTGAACTAATATACTATTAGTTTTTAAAATTCAACTCATTTACATACTATTTAAATTAATTTAATCAATTAAAATGATTAACTTTATTAATCTACTAATAATTAAATTAAAAATATAACCTAAACACTTTAATAAATATTTAAATTAATGAGTAAATCAATCAAACTAATTAGGTAGTGAACTAATCTACAATTAATTAAATTATTTTTTAAAATTCAACTAATTTACATACTATTTAAATTAATTTACTCAATTAAAATGATTAATTTACTAATCTACTAACAATTAAATTAAAAATATAACCTAAATACTTTAATAACTACTTAAATTAAGTAATTTAATCAATTAAACTAATTAGGTAGTGAACTAATTTACTATTTATTAATTAAATTAGTCTTTTAAACTCAACTAATTTACAAACTAATCAAATTAAATTATTTACGGAGTTAAACTAAATAACCAACTACTAGAGAACCTCAATCTAAATCACAAACTATTAATTAATAAATAAATACATTATAACTCTAATTACATTAAATTAAACATAATTAAACACTAATAATAAATTAAACAAATTTAAAAATAAAAAAAAGCATTCCGGCCGTCGGACGGCCAGAGACGCCGTCCGGCGGCGCGACCGGGACGCGCAAGAAACGCGTCCCGGTTCAACCCGGCACGAGCAAAACGCCCGTTTCGGGTTGAACCGGGACGCGTTTCTTACGCGTCCCGGTCGCGTCGCCGGATGCCTTCCATGGCCATCCGGCGGCCACACAAAAGAAAAAAAAAAAAAATCTACCCGCCGGACGGGCAAAGATGCCGTTCGACGGCTCGACCGGGACGGGCAAGAAACGCGTCCCGGTTCAACCTGGAACGGGCGTTTTGCTCGTTCCGGGTTGATCCGAGACGCGTTTCTTGCGCGTTCCGGTCGCGCCGCCGGACGGCTTCATAGCCCGTCCGGCTGCCAGAATGCTTTTTTTTCTCTTCAATTCACAAATTTTTTTTTTTAAAAAACGTACCCGTTATGAGATCGGCTCTTTCCCGCTATGATTCTTCCGTGTTGCCATCAATTTTGGATCAAATTAAACTTCAAAATGGGGTTTAGAAGGGTGATGGCTTCAAGTTTTCTCTCTTTTTCCTTTGGTGGAAGTTTAAAATGTGAGGGACAAAATGGTCCAAAATTTTTTATGGTGGCTTCAAGTAATAAAGTTGGTGGCTTCAAAAACTAACATCCAATAATAAAGGCTAGTGATATTGTCATGTCCAAAATTAGCCTCCAGAGCAATTTATCACTTTGGCTCCTAAATTGCCCTTACTAGTCAAATCCTAATTTCTTGAATTCTATCATCTTGTTCAATCATATATCTGTATCTCTCTGTCCATCCCCATTGAGCATCAAGAACCTTCTCTCTTCTTCCATTTTTCTCCCTACCAACTGCTCTGCTTGGTTAATTTAAATATGATTTTCATGGATCTGTATTTTATTTCTCAAGTTCAATGAGTTTACTCAGACTAGATATTATCATGTTCATGAATCTGGATTTCCTCCATTATTTCCATAATCAATTTTCATATTTTCATGAATGAAGTTTGGTTTTTGTTGTTATCTGATTTCTCAATTTAAAGTTATTGACCATGTTTGTTAGGTTTGTGTATACTATGATAGTTTTGGTTGGCCTAGAAGCTCTGCTCTTTTTCGTATTTCCATATTATTGGTAAGGAGCAGAAGAGCTCCAAAAACTTTGTAATAATGGC